AATTTAAAAAGAAAAAGAGAATTAACATAACCATGTTCAATATGTTTAAAAAAAAAAAGATGCTAATCGATGTGACTCCCTCCACTACAGGGTCTAAAGATAATCATATATATTTAATTTTACCCTTTCATGAGGTGGCACTCCTTTTATAGTTAGTGGGGAATAAAGTTAAAGTAACTAGTAAGGTTATTTGAAAGTAACATGAAGAACTTATTTACTTATCCAAGGAAAAAAAAAACATTAGATCCATTTATATGCCTAAACCTACTCCAACCAAGGTGACATTACTTGAGTTGAATTGCACATTGCTTGAATTTGTCTCGTTTACAAAATGAGCTAAATGTTCTAAATCAAATAATACTTATTTTATAATTTAAAGGAGATATAACGAGTCAAAAACAAACCAAATCCAACCAAATTTAAAATACATGGATAAAATCCTTATTACGCGGTAGAAAATCTCCTATAACATTTATATCACGTATTTTGTAATTAATTTAAGAGAGAGTGCGCTTGGGAAGCTTTTCATCTCGATTTTTCTATTTATTATAATTATTAATTCACTTAAGTCTATTGCACAAGAAGGTTTTCATACAAAAAAAATTGATTAAAAACTGAAATTATATATGCATATAAATTAATTATCATCTCATTTTCACAAGATGTATAGTTACGTTATTCATATCATTTTACATAGTTAAAGAAAATAAGAAAATAAATAGTTAAGATGTTTTTTTAAGACTCTGTGATAGAGATTGATTATTTATGGCGAGGATTAAAAAATTCAATGTACATCCTTGAAATGCAAATGGTTAGGATTAATCTAATATTCACTAAAAGATATAACTACATAAGCTTTTATCAAATTACATTCTATGGCATCTCCTATACAATCACTCTTTAATCACTCTTACACCCCACTAATTATCTTCCATTTGTTTGATTTTTTTTTAAAAAATATTTCCACTATTGAATTATTTATTATATTTTTTGTAAACTATTTCGATTGATGTAATAAATAAATCTAAAATTGCCCCATCTCCGCCACACAATATTGCCTTGTCGTCGTCGCCACACATCATTGTACACTAGCTGAAGTATAAAACCACCATCAACACCTCTACCACATGTCACACACATACCATCTGAAGCGCTAAACCACACTCACATCATCACCATTGTAGTTCCATAGCCAAGCCCCAAAGGTTGGGCATATTGAATCATAAAACCATCATGACTACTGCTACCTCTCACACGCATACAATTCAGTTAACTATAGAATGTGGGGAATGAGGGAGGGGGAGGAGGCCAACCGCACTACTTCAACCACCAGTTACACACAAACATACAACCCATTACCACAACAATCAATAACAATCGGCTGCAAATCCATTATGACTAATACCCAAAACCCATATATGATATATATGAAAATTCCACAACCAAAAGCCACCTCTAAATCTATTCTATCTCAAAAAAATAAAATCTAAATCTGAAAACACAGCCAGTTACAAACACAAAGTAGTGATGGGTCTACTCGCAGGGCATCGTGGAGCAATGATAGGTATATGGTGGCCATTATGGTGCAATGATATGTCTGATGGTGATACAACGATGAGTCTGATGGGGCCATGGTTGTGTGGTGAAGGGAGGTAGGGATGACTTATGGCATAACACAGAGAGAGAGAGAGAGAGAGAGAGGGAGAGATGGGGATTACAGTAGGTGTGGGTGAGTTTGACAATAGATTTTGGGATAGGTGTGTTGGAGAATGGTAATTGGTGATGGTGAAGTGAGGAATTATGGTAGAGGGGGCTGGGGGTGATTAAACTAAGCAGTGAATAAAAAAAGAAGGAAGGTATGTTAGGGTTTCATTTTCGATTAGAGTCGGGTCGAGTTGGGTGGGTCAGAGTTAGGGTAGAATTTTTGGGTTTGGATGGTTGTTCTTACATATTATTTTTCAAATTGTTAGGATCATGTTTGTAATTAAATAATTTCATGAAGTCATATTAATGTCAAGCTATTCCATGGTCATCAAACTTTAAAGATCAAGATCCGTGAAGGAGATGAAGCTACAATGTTATATTAAAACTATTCTGATGCATCTTCAAGCTTAAGACAAAGAGAATGATCTTAGAAACCAAAATCCCTTGGTTTAGTTTTAGACTTAGACAATTAAGGTGAAGAAAATGGAATTGATATATTATCTGTAAATAACTCCGAGGGTTTTTATTGACAATGTTTTCTAAACTTCAATGTGTTTTGAAAAAATAATTTGAGTTATCTATCGGACACTACTTGATCAACACCCTTTAATGTTCAAAAGAATAAGTTTTTGCTTGATTTTTGCCTTAAAAACTAGTAGGGATGGTCTTATGCTCACTTGTCTTCAGTTAGAATTGTCTATGATGACTTAGACATAAAATCATGAAGGTTGTCAAGTTGGACAGTAGAGATTGCCCTCTAGGTTGCTCTCAGACAGCTTGAGTGGTCTTTCCTTTGTTAGACTAATTTGATTCGTTTTCTCATTCTAGTGACAACCGCTCTCTCACTACTTTCCCAATAATCGAGCAATCATTCATGAATTTTGGTTTACTTGGTCTCTAAACTTAACCTAATTCCGAGTCTACAAATAGGGAAAGCCTTCTAAAGCTAGGGTGTCTCTTGTGTAAGCCTAAATTCAACCTTTTAAACCTTTAGAGAACACCATAGACCATAGATACCTAAAAGACCATGGAATATCCATCTTGAAAACTAACTTTCGACTAATGAATTAAGTTTTGGTGAACCCTGAATGATTCCCCACAATTTTTCTCGGTTAGGTTTATGTGCATCATCAATTTCTTGTGTTCTTATTTGCTTTAAATTTGCTGATACACTTTGCAACCTAATACACACGAGTACCATGTGTTTGTATGAATGATTGTTTACCATTCAATTCATATATAAGGGTTTTGTGAGGTTGCCTTGATTGGGATTGTTGTGGGAGGTTTAGTTAATCAATTAATTGACACTCTCATAACATCAATCTGCATGATAGGGTTCGTAAAAGTCATTTATTGAATTGATAATTGAGGTGTTCTAGGTTAAAATTGATAATTGTTCAAATTTAAAATTAGATTAATCTATTCACCACCCCATCTAAGTTGTCTTAAACACACGTGTATAATTGTGAGTGCCGATCCATTGCATTTCACATTTCCCCAATTAGTATCTGAGCGGGGTCTCCCTCTAGGATTGCATTAGGCACTTGTAAGCTTTCTTATTTGGTTTGTCTTTTTCATATTTTTATAGGAAACATATAAGAGATCTTTGTTCAGATATGACCAGTATCCTTATTTTTTTACAAAAAATATCGTAGTTGCCATTTTTAAAAATAACCATGATCTTCAATAGGAAATAAAATATCTTAAAACTTCAGTACAGTTTTAAAATTGACATCAATCATTTTGTTTTCTCAAGTTAAGTTTATGTCATTAAGAAAAGAATTAATTTCAATTTGTACTCTGAAAGATTACTTGAATTTGAATTTGTGCCTTCAAAGTTTAAAAATATCAATTTATCCTCAAATGCATAAGTTCGTATCAAAGTATATTTGAGATTAACTATCATTCATTTTGTCGTTAAAAAAGTTTAGACTAATTATAAATTGCACCCTTAAAATTTAAATATTTTATATTTATGATCCAAAAAGAATTTTTTCCATTAATGCTCGTTAAATATCTCTTAATTGTATTGTGTCATGTTCGAGTCAATACAAAAATATTTTTTAAATTTTAAAAAAAGTATGAAATACCTATTTTTTACTTACAATACTCGTTAAATAACTATTTTTTGTCTCTTGTTAGACACGATTTTTTTGACTGTTCAATCAAATTAAAGTTAGCTATAAATAACACAATTATAAACATAAAATAACTATTTAATGAGTATTGTAAGCACCAAATATGTATTTTTATAATTTATAAAAAATATTAAATAACATTATATAAATTATCGTAAATGTGAAATAAACGACACAACGCAATTGATTTGACGCGAAAATAATTTTGTGTTAAGAAATTTTTTTTATCGACTCGAACATGATACAAAAATGATATGACATGACATAAAATAACATGATACAACATAATTGAGATGTATTTAATGAGTATTAATAGATGAAATTTTTTTTAATCATAATTGCGAAAATATTTAAATTTTGAAGGTGCAATTTATAATTATCCCAAATTTTTTTAACGACAAAATGGATGACAGTTAATAACCGGTGCACATTGGTACAAATTTATGTCTTTCAGAATGTAAATTAATATATTAAAATTTTATGGGTGTAAATTAAAATTTAAATAATTTTTCAGGGTATAAATTAAAATTAGCCCTTAAAATTATAACTGCAGTTGTCTGTAATAACCCAAAAGAAATGCAAATATACTCAGTGTGCGTCTCGCACTAGGCCATTGACCGAGGAGCTGGGTAGGCCCGGCCCGTTAAAGACCAAAGGTAGCAGCCTTAATCATGTTTACCACTAATCAAACCAGCGGTTGAAGAAATCAGCCCCAAAAAGAAGGGGGTATAAAGCAACGGTTAGTGCAACAAAGAAGAGTGAGAATTTGAAATCAGCTGCAAGATCTTGACCTTTAATGGCAAGTCAAGTTAAAGTAAACGCGGTAAACAGAACTGGCACTCTGTGAACGCCTTTTAAGTTGCCACTAACCCCTTAAAAAGCTGGCAATACCCATGACCGACACAGGTTTCTTGGCTCAAAATCTCTCTCTCTCTCCCTACTTCCCCCAAAATTTCCTATTCACCCACTACCTTCATAGTTCCGTACTGAGCTCTGCTGCTTCCCTTCAATTCTTTTTGTACATTTCCTGCTGTTTCTCAGTTGACCCACCTCAGAAATGAAGCTTCTAGCTGTTGATGAATACCTCAAATCTAGCCAGAAGAACCATTCACACTCATAGAATTTTCTGGGTTTACATAATTGCCATAGTTCACCGGCATGCACGGCTTGAGCCGCCTCGGCAACGGCGCAAAATCGCCTTCTCCGCCATCCTCTCCTCGTTTCCGCCACGGCCGCACCAAAAACACCGTCAACATTGGTGGTGGTGGAAGTTTTCGGGGCGGAGGAGGTGAATTGAAGTTACAAAATGTTGTGGAGAGGGTGGTTTATGTAGTGATATGGGGGGTGTATAGGCGGCGAGGGGTGTTATTGGTGGCGCCATTGTTGTATATATCGGGTATGTTGTTGTATATGGGTACATTAGGGTTTGATGTAGTTGGTAGTAATGGTGGTGGTCATAAAGCTGGTCCGCCCGGGTCTGTGTATCGGAGTCCTCAGGTTTTTGAGAGGCTGTGGTCTTACATGGAAGCTGAAAGCAATAATGGGACCTCCAATGTGGTAATCTTATATTGCTGCTATAATTATCGAAATTATTTAGCCTTTCACTTTTTGAGGTTTTCCGGTTTTCGCATTTTTGGATATTCTGTAACTTCTGGGAATTATGGAAAAAAGAAGTTTGAGTTCTTAGAGATCTGGATCGTCTCTATTTTAAATCTTGTTGATTTTGATCAATTTAAATTATCCATAGTTAAGTTTATTGGTTCCATTTGTGAGTTTTTATGTTTTCCAGAAAATTGACAATTGAAATTACTAGGGGTATGTAAACAAACCCATTGCTTAGTTTACTAGTCAACTTTGTGAGATTGCGTTTTAATAAGTCTTTGTTGAAATGGTGGAATTTGTTAGGGCTCTTTTGGTTGCTATTTAGAACCATAATGAGGGGCGGAGCCAGGATCTCAATATAGGGTGGGCAAAAATATGACTAAAATAAGTGTTACCCATTGATACGAGCTATTATATATAAACATATATTTTTAAGAGCAAAAATAGAAACCATATTAATAATCCAAACTTGAGGTAAGAGGGCGGCCCAGGGGCTCACTCTCACTTGTAGATGGTTGCGAGTTCCAACCTCTTCCCCCTTCCCCCGACAAAAAGTTAAAAAAGGTATATATATATATACACACACATATGCATAATCTAAACTAAACTATTAGAAGAAAAATATAACTAATATCATCCAACCTTAATACGATATGGAAAAAAAAAAAGAAAGAAAAAATACTTTTGTTTCAGTGTGTTGCAACTAAATCACCTATCTAAATGAAGCTCCACATTGTTTTATGTCCTGAAATCATATATGGTTGGTTATCAAATCACCCCTATTTCATTGAAACGCCTATTTTTGGAAATGTACATGGCCAAAAATGATACTCAAACCTAACAAGTGTTACTAACTTGAATGACCATTCAAATTCAATCCAAAACTATTCTATTCTTTAACTTGTTAAGATATAAGTAGATAGACCGTGGGTAAAGTTAAAGTTTTCATGACAATTATCCAAAATTGTCTGAATTAATATTTGTCATGACATGCATATGCTTAGGTTCCAAAAAAAAGATAAAAAAAGTTAATGGGGGTGCACAAAGTGATAATATCATGACATAGAATAGTATAAACAAGAATAAGGGGTCCTTCAAATGGTAGAGGGGCACTGGCCCACCCTGGCATAATAGTGGCTCCGCCAATGACCACAATTGTCTGTTCCATATCTGCAGCTATTTGGGTGTCTTAAGAGTACCGGACTTTTTGTTGGGGACTGCATGTAGCCCTTGATAACAATGCATCAACACCAGTTAACTATAGGGAGAAATCTGTTGTGATCCAATGCGCTTTAAATCCACAAACAAACACTCACAATCGAAGAACAAACCAAAAACATAAAACAATGAGAAGCAAGAAAGAACAAGACACATAGATTTTATGTGGTTCGACAATTTGCCTATGTCCACGAAACTGCATGGATTTCATTATTGAGAGAGCGGAATACTGAGGGTGGCTATACAGTTACACTCCAACCCTAATTATCAAAGTAATAGGTTTTTATATTTTTTTCTTACCGGGCTACAAAACAGGCCCAAAGCCTTCGCTCCTATCGGCCCAAGCCTTCGCTCTATGGATCAAGTCTCAAACACCAACATCAACCGCAATCCTCCCAAAAACAGTCCCTCATCCTTGCAGCTCATCCTCCTGTCCTCAAGCTGAGAGACCCACAGAAGCTAAATAAAACTTCAGTTTCTCCACTGTAACCACTTTCGTGAACATGTCTGTCGGATTATCCCTTGTGTGAATCTTTTCCAAAGTGAGCTGTCTATCCTCCAACAAAGAGAGAATAAAGTGATACTTTATGTTGATATGCTTGGTCCTCGAATGAAAGGCTGCATTCTTCGCGAGATGTATCTCACTTTGACTATCGCTGGATAATTTAGAATTGTCTTGCTCCTTACCCAATTCTTTCATAAAGCTCCTCAACCATACCATCTCCTTGCATGTCTCCATGGCTGCAACGTACTCTGCCACTATTGTTAAAATAGTCACTATTTTCTGTAGCCTTGAGACCTAACTGACTATTGTATTGCCCATTGTAAAAACATACCT